TGAGAGGCAGCTGCAGGTGATGAGCATGGTGAGGATGGACCGTTCGATGACGCCGTCGCGCGCGAAGACGGCGGTAGCGGTGGCGGCGATCCTGGATGAGATGGAGGACAACCCCGGAAAAGACTGCGCGGAAAAGTAAGTGGATGCATTTTCTTTAGACATAAGTGAATTTGCGCTAAGCAGATTATTGTTTTGGATTGAACTAGAGAGTAAAATCTTCATAGCGCAGTGCAACTTGTGTTGAATGCATGTATCGTTGATGTCGGATTAGAGCAGAGGAGTGGAAAGACAAAGATAGGGGCGAAGACTATAGTAGGATCTCACGCGCTTGGTTGATACACACACCACATGTTATATTGCAGGTTGGTGGAGAAGTTGCTCCCCCTTCAAAACGCGAGGAGGCTGAAGGAGTGGGTCGAGCAAGCTAGGGCGGGACGAGCCGGGGGCGCGTTGAGGGGAGGAGACGAAGGGCTGATCAAGATGATGCGGACACTGCCGTTCGATCAAATCCAAGAAGTGCAACTCCCAGGACAGACGCGCATGACGGACGGGGCGGTGCCGATGATCTTTTGTATGTCGACGCAGGGGGTTGGATCGGGGTTGGACACATCTAGAAGGTTGTCGAAGAGGGGGGACCTGCAGAACAACATGGTGTATTGCGACGGCAGCAAAGTTGCGAAAACGTGGTACCGATGGACAGCGCTGGTCTACGATCACTCCGCGCGCAAGCTGTTGGAGGTGTTCTCGGCGTTCATCCAATCGGAATCGTACGAGGCGGTGGCGCAGGTCTTGGCGACATGGAAGCGGCTCGGATCGCAGGGGTACGTGGGAAAGAACGGAAGCGAGAAGGTGGAGACGCACATCGTAAACCCGAAGAAACTGATGCTGGACTCGGCGGAAGGGGCAGTGAGAGCAACGGAGGAGGCTTTCAAGAATTTCCGGGCGGAAGGGAGAGGACAGGTGGTGTCCTGCGCGTTCCACTTCCACGAGTGTCGGAGACGCCACGAGAGGGAGAACGTACCGGAAGCGTGGAGGGAGGAACACAAGCTGAGGTGCAATCTCCTATTGGGGGCTGCGTCGCAACGAGACGTGGAGCTAGAGGCGGAGGAGCTGATGACGTTTTACAACGACAAGTGCAGCACGTGGGAGAACGCGCTGCTGATGGAGGGGTGGCTACAGTATTGGCTGCAACGGTGGGTCTTTTTGCTGATTTGAGTGTACATGAGTTAGGAGGAAGCGTATGTGCGACTCGGACTTCGATACGATATTGTGTCCAACATAAGAGAAATATCTCATCGATGGCTTACCCATTGCGTAGCTTTGAAGATATGCCGGAAAATGATGATTATGCTTGCCAATTGCGCTAGTTCGTTTCTTAATTTCTGCGATGACCAAGGCACTGAAACCCTAAAACCCTAAATCACTTAATCCCAAAGCCCTTGAAGCCCTAAAACCCTAAATACCAAAAACCCAGAAACCCTAAATGCCCATATTAATTTAGTGACGCGCATTATGGAGCCCAAAAACGTGCATGCTACCGAGGCTCGGTAGCATGCACTAATCCTTGGAAACGTGATTGCTACCGAGCCTCGGTAGAAAGACGGGAAGCCCAGTTGACTCGTATAAGTTCCCTATACCACAGGGGGTTACATGCTGCGCAGCCTTGAAATCGCGTCGAGCTGCCGAGGCTCGGTAGCAAATTACAATCCGCTGTGCTCTTATGTACACACTTCGTTTGTGCAGGGGCTTTCGCTTGGTAGCGTATCGGGACGAGGAATGTTTGGATGATCCAGAGGAGGAGACGGGGTTCGAGTCGAGGGCTAACATCGCGGAGTCGGCTCACGCGTCGTTCCTAAGGGGGCTTGGGGGGAAGAAGATGCAGTTGGATATCGCGGCGGCGGTTCTTGTCAATGGCGCAAACATGCTGCTCCAAATGTCTGACGCGAGGGCAAGGAAGGAAGCGTTGGCGAAGCCGGCGAGAGGACCGACCTTGTCGGACAACCGCCGCCGAAATGGAGAGTGGAGAAGAAGTGTGGAAGAGATGCGGGAAACCCTGCGAGGTGGGGGTAGCGTACAAGAAGGAGAGAGAGAATTTGCAAGGAGGGTGCAGGAGGGGGGGTACGAGACGGACCCTGTCGGGACGGACCGGATCGAGACGCGGAACAAGAGGAGACGGGAAGCGGAGGGGGCAGAGAGGCGGACTGAGATGGAAGGAAGGGACAGCGATGAGGAGGAGGGGACTCACAGGGCGGATACCATTAGGAGTGAAAGGTGGAGGAAAAAGGGGCGGTTGTCAAGTCCAGAGGGAGAGGAAGCCGTCGGTGGTAGTGGGTTTCACAAGGATGTATTGGAGTCGATGGGAGACTTGACGGAGGAAGACATAGCGGGACAAGCAGAGGAGTTCGAGAGGCTGCGAGAAAGGAACAAGGGGAGGAAGAGGAGTGGCAGCAGGCGGGAGAGCGAGTTTGTAGACGAGGACGAGGAGGACCTGGATGAGATTACAAGGCTGCATGAGGAGTTGGAGAGGGAGGAAGAGGAGTTGAAAAACAACCGACGACGGGAGGAGGTAGAAAGAAGCGAGGAGGAAGCGCACGGGGAGGAGGAAGAGGAGGAGGAGGAGGAGGTGGTGGAAAGCGATGATGAGAGGGCTCGTGACGGGAGAGAAGCCGCGGGCGCCAGACTCAGACAACAGCGAGTTCCGGACGAGTATTTTCAGGGCGCCAAGGCGTTCTCCACGCAATGGGGATTAGCGCGGTTAAAAACTTACGATGCGGCCATTTGCTGTGGCTCGAAGCATTCGGGCTACGGATACACATCGTGTTGCACACCCTTGGTCGCGAGGAACAGAGCCGGGCGGTTGGGGAACGTGGTGCTCATGAAGTAAGTGAATGGAACCAATTTTATTTTGAAACCCACACTTGCGAATTGATCATTGTTGCAGCGTGTCATTGCTTTTGGTGATCTGTTTGTTTCGTTCCTTTGATCGTGATTGGGTATTCCAATCAGAGGCACGAGGAGACCACTTAGTTTATGAATTAGCTTTTCTTTTGGCTATTGTAGGGTGGGTCTTCGCGTGGCACGGACGCTCGAGGTGGATGGTGCGCCGCAAAGAAGGGTCGCGTACTGCGGGCGACTGAAAAAATGCGCGAGCAGGACGTGCTGGGGGTTGAATTATTCTGTAGCAGCAGAGGAGGTTTTGCCGAACCCCGACACGCATGTGTTTCCGTTGTTCGAGGGAACGGAGTTGACCGCGAGGGATCGGGCGAAGCTAAGGGAGGAACGGGTTTTGTACGACGAGAGTCTTCCAAAGCTGAAGGATCCAGGTGCGGCGTTGCCATGTAAGAGCTTGAAGCTCGGGCCGAAGACTTTTCGGAACGCCGGAATTGGGCCTGCAGAGGGGAATGTAGAGGATCGGCGAGGCTCTGGGGCGGGAGTGCGATCGAAGCAACAGGCAGATAAGGAGGCGAAGCGTCAAATGCTGAATAGGGGGGACGGGTTGGTGAAGGGAAGGCCGGTGCGGAACAGGACGAAGGCTACGAAGGAAATGAAGGACAACCTGGTGAGGGGTTGCGTGTACAAGGGAATCGTTGTGGCGGAGGCCATGGGAGTGGACGCTGCGGGAGACCCAACGCGGAAGTTCATGATCAAGACAACGGGGTTGGCGGGGGCAGATACGGACAAGCTCTACGAAGTGGTTTTGAAGAGGGTGTGCGAATGCGATTGCGCGGGGTACAAGAGAATGATGGCGGACAATCGGAAGGCGTTTGCGTGGTGCAAGCACATCTACGCCATTATGATCAAGGTCTTGGGATTCGGCAGGCACGACCCTCTGTTGTTGGCCGTTGCATTCAACAAGGCGGAGTGGATGCGGATCACGTCAAAGCCGGCGACACATTCGGCGCTGGCGGGTTAGTGCACCGAAAGACTGCGTTGCCGATGTAGCGACTAAGGCCAACGTGGCTATGAGTTCACGCCCAGCAGAACCGAGCGCAGTTTAGCAGGTATCGTAGGTTGAAGCTAGGGAATAGCGGCGACAAGGGTCACGTTGAACAGAGCACCATGTAAATATGAATATGTCATGCGACTTTAACAAAGCGTACAATGCCGCATTTTCCATGCCTAGTTAGTGTGCATTGATCGGGAGACATTTTTTTTTGTTTCAGAGGAATACACAATGATCTTGCCGTATATGTTCTACGCTGGTCGTAGTAACAACTTCGTATAGATGGTAGTAAAGGAATGATATGCAATACGTTTATCTTGTTGGGCGTCAATGATGAACATGCTTGGAATGGACAGTTTGTTACTAAGGGAAACAAGAAAGCAATTGATGGCGTGTCTTTCGGTGTTGGCAATATTAGTAATTTTAACACGCATGATACATGTCGACGTCACTATATTGCTCATCAAAATGAAGCAACGAACGAAAAGTAAAAGAGAACGAGTGTTTCATACGTTGATAGGTGAAGAGAAGTCTTTCGCAAGAGGGGTGGTGCGACATGGCAGCTTCAATGACAAAGTTGGGGCGTGTCGTCAAAGTTTGTTCTGAAGCGGGCGATGAAATAAAATACCGTTTCGAGCGATCAGTGCAGTTTTCCATCAAGGTTTCTGATGACCATGTGTTGGACGAGGATGCATAGAGGTTTGGAACGGTAAAAGGCCCGTCCGCACGAGAATAGGGCCTAAGGGACGTGGTTGTTGCATGCCGAGAAACTTCGATCCAAAATGGAAAATAAAATAAGTGCGGATCGTTTATATGTTTGTTCAAACGACGGGCCATTATATGAAGGATTGAACGAGCGACATATAAGTTGAAAGAGGCGTAGAGGTCTCGTAGAGCGGTCCGCACAAGACGAGTGCTTGAGTGACGAGGCTGTCGTGTGCCGTGAAACTACGTTTGAGAAGGGAGATAATATAAGAGCGGTTTTTGGAAAGTTTGTTCGAAGCGCGGTGCGGTATACATGGAGGATGTGGGTGATCCCATCACTCAGAGAGAATG